TTCGGCTAAAACTGTAAAGGTTAGACAAAAGGCTAGATGCTTGAAATTGAATTAGTGCAATAACTGTTAGAGATATTGTAATATGTCTCTCAATTACATAATCACATAATTTTTGGCCTAAAACACAAGAAAAATGGCAAGGAAGCGCTACAGCGAGTTTGATAGCACCATTTAGTGCTGTCAAAGCAGCTATAAGTGTTGTAGCGAGTTTGACAGCACCATTTGGTGTTGTCAAAGTAGCTATAGGCACTGCAGCGCCAATTTTGGGCGATGCAGCGCCCAAGCAGGGATAACAGGCGCGCTGCAGCGCCTGCATTGCATCCCGAAAGGCTGCTCTCTGTCCAAAACTCCGTTGCAGTGGAAAACTTCGCGCTGCAGCGCCATTGTGCAGGCCTCTCGGGTCAGTTTTGTGCTGCCCGAGCGCTGTAGGGGGGAAAACATCCGCTACAACGGGTACTACTGTAGAAAACTATGTTTTCGTGTGTTTATGTGATCTGAAAGGTCTTGAACCATTGCATCCATTGGTGATATATTTTAACACATATCTAAACACTTATTAGCAATATATATAACCATTGTAATATGTGTATCAATCCATGAAAAGATACCTATACATTGAAAAGGTATCTTTCTATGAAAGGTTGTAATGTTTAAAAACGATGCATTCATTCAATGAAATGACATCTCTGTCTTTATTAATTCTTCAAAAAATTTACAAATTTAATTCATGTTATGGAACTCAATATTATTGCTAGATATTGTGTTCAAGGGTTTGTTGTATCTTAGAGGTAATTTGTCATTAAAACTCATTAGTAAACTTTAAGAAGTGAAGACAAATAAAATCTTAAAAAAATGTATTTTTATACATATCAAATTATCTTTTATTTCTACATTCTTTTCATCTTCTACTCTCAAATTCTCTAATAATAACTAAAAGTGTAAGTAGATAGGAGCAGAAAAAAGAACAAGAAGACCAAAAAGAAAAAGTCGAAGCACAAGAACCTTAGAATTCAAATTGATGGTTACAATTATAGACAACTCTCTTTTTTTAGCCCTTTTTCTGTTTTTACCTTAGCCTTTTGTTAGTCGAATCTTGAACAGGATATTGATAGAACGGCGGCTATTTATACTGAAGCGTGCGTCTCTAGTAGGCTAGTAGGGGAACATGTCGTCCAACTTATATGTACATTTGCCCGCAAAAATTCACCAAACGAATACCCCTAAAAAAAATGTATTTATGATGGAGAAGATTATTTTTGCTCCATAAGTAAGAATTGTATTTTAATTGTGTTATTAATTTTTCTACAGTCTAATTTGTAATAGAAACAGTTATGTGTCTAATATTATAAATTTTTAATACAAATTTATACAGATTTAATTGTTAAAAAAAACTAATTTAATGCATATAAATAACGGTTCTTAACAATAAAAAAAAAATAACTTTCACCACTATAAAGGTTTTAAAAAAATGTGAGGTTATTATATGCTTTGTGCTGTACATAAGAATAAACTTTTTTGTGGTGAAATGTGCCCCTAATAGACAAGTTCCAAGCATGGGATTCAATCCTAAATCATGTTATGCAATCCTAAATCATGTTATGCTGATTATGCTAGTCTCGTCCATGACAAAGTGACATGTATCTTCATGATTCACATTACCGAGATCAATTCCTTGCTTTGTCTGGAATTTTGCAATTCTTTATGGTTCATTTCTATCCAATCTTCTCTCTTTTCCTTGGAGAATCTAAAAGTTATATATTGAGGACAATCTTTCTCTACTCTCTTTTCACCTTGTGAATAACCCCGAAATGCTCATGGTTTCTTTTACTAAAGAAACAAAAAGAGGGAAGATATTTCTAGTGGGAGATGGTATCCAAATATCCATTACTAATTTAAAGACTACAAATCAATCATAACCATTATCTTCATTAGTTTTAAAAAGTAAATTTGTTAATTAAGCATTGTGTCATTTTGGACCATAAATTTTTAATTATGATAGGTTATTCCGTGGTAGTAAAATCGAGAAATAATTTCGAAATTTCATAGAGATAACTACATACCAATAATCAAAATGATACAATAATATAGCAGGGATCAACAGTGCTATTAATTAGAAAGAAAAATAAAGAACACACAACTAAATTAAGCTTTTATTTTACACAAATATCTAACTCTCATTTTGAAAATAATTTTGTCAAGGCACAAAAAATTATACTTTTAGTTCTGTGCAGGTTTAGATTGTTAGATTTTTATCTATTTGATTTGCATTGATTGTATGATATAATATTCAAAATGGGAATTTTTTATAGGGTTTGAAATGGTATTCTATTTGTAGTGCTTTCATTTGAACCACTAAATTTATAATATTACACATATATATATATTATATATATATATAGGAGGCATTTATAAAAAGTACCGGATGATAAACCACAATTGTAGGATCAAATCTATACGGTTAGAAATGGTGGAAGGGCAACCTCAAATTTTACATTGTAGGATGAGATCTTAGACTGGACACTTTTATGTAAAGAAATATTTAAAAAATGAATATCTTATCTCAAAATTCACCGCAGTCCAATCACTCAATAGTAAACGTGAGCCAAGCTAAACTCGTTCTCTTTTTTTTTTTTTTGAACATAATTAAAGACGTTTATTTTCAATGATAAGAAACGATTGACGTTTTTGGAGTTTTTATTTTTAAGAATCTTTTATTTATTTATTTAATGTTGGACAAAGACATGGGTACCCATTGTGGTATTACTTGAATTGCTTTCTCTAAAATTTATTTGTAGCATATCTTTTATAACAAAAAAAAAGGCATAAATTTGGCAAAATTTAATTAGAAGAAAAAAAATCGTTTAGGTAGTTTGGTAAAATTTACCGATCTTCAAATTTTAAGGTACTATTAAAAAAAAAAAATCTACTGTAGAGTAATTTGAATGTTAAGTTTTACTTACTTTAAGGGTTAGAGCGTTTAGCTTTCTGTAGCTAGCGCTCTATGATAGTACAACATCAGACTCAATATATGACGGATTTTAAAATTAAAATACGTTAAAAAATAATTATTTGCATGATGACGTTTATTGTTGATGAATAAAAATGTTCATTTACATTTGTAAGAATTAAGTGTCTTACCAAACCCTTGCTTATATAAGTTATTTCATGTTGCAGACAATCTAAAGGGTAAGATGTAGCCATGGAGAATCTTAGAGCGGATGCGAGCTATGCACGATAGGAAAATGAGAGAAACGATCATGGAATGAAAGTGCTTAAATTTAAATAAAGTTTTAATTTTTATTGTTCATTATTTTGGAACTTTGGTTTATGGTGGTTTTGATTTGAAAAATATTTTAGACTTTTTTTTAAGTTTATTTCACGGTATGTATTTTAATAATTAAGTTGAACCAAAAGGTTATTTTGTCTTTGAAGAACTTCAAAATTTTTAAAGTTATAATATGTTTTAAAAAAAAATTTCTAGGTTTTCTTTAAGTCATTCAAAGTAAATATAGCACCAATGTTAAATTTTAGTATTTGAATAAACATTTACTATTTAATGTAATTCTATCTTTATACTTATTTAGTGCCAATGACATAACTCTAACTCAATTAAATTCTTTAAATTTCGTTGCTCTTAAGATGAACAATTTCAACTTATTGCTTCTTTCACCAAAATCCTAATGATACGCTTGTTACCAACTTGAATTAGATTAAGCATTTTCAACAATGTTACAAACTTCAACCTCTGTTACTGCATACTTAAAAGGCATACTTGTTTGCCTCATTTGTACATTGTCCATCACTAACAAATGTTCTCACTCTATAAATTATTTTTTATTCGACCACATTTACAACTCTACCCTTCTAAAATTATATATCATATTTCACATACTGACACACTCTTTGAGCCCTCAACATTTGTCAACAATTTTCCTGACACCCACTGCATCACTCCCCACCTCACTAACACCTGGACACCGCATGCTTATCATAAAGTGACTAAGGCCACCTTTTACTCCTCCTCCATTAATTTCTGACCGTCTATTTTAATCTGACGTCTCTCATTTTTCTGTAAGACTGGTCATGCAAAGGTACATGCCTGATCAGAGACTAAACTTATATTATATATATATATATATATTATTTTAATAGGATATTTTGATAAGATCTAATTTAAGTAATATACCTATATGCAGATAACTCTCCTTGCTCCTATTTTTTTATGCATATAAAAGCTCCTATTTAAAACATGAAGGTCTCGTTCATTTCACTGATTTAAATTTAGAATTTGAGTTTTTTTTTATAGTAAAAAACTCTTAGAAACAGTCAAATTTAAATTTTTTTTACAATAAAAAGCTCTTAGAAACAGTCACATTTAAATTTTTTACTACAATAAAAAGCTATTACATAAAATCACATTTTAACTTAAATAAAAAACTCGAATCAGCGAACTAAACAAGCCATAAACATCTTTAAAACTACTTATAAAAGATTTTTTAATTTTTTTTTTTTTGCAACTATCAATCTTATTTAATATATTTATTCATGTACGGAGGGCAGACAGTAAAAAAGAATAATATTTAGACTTCGTTCATTTCATCAATTTGAATTTAGAATTTAAATTTTACTATAGTAAAAAAAATTTTAAAAATAATTATATTTAATTTTTTTATTATAATAAAAAATTCTCACATAAAATTATATCTTAATTTAAATTAAAAATTTGATCAATAAACTAAACAAATTTTTAGAAGTACTACTAATGTTAAACCTCGTAAGGCTCGTACACATACATATATTTTATTAAGTTGTGTACAAACACATTTTATTTTATTAATGAGTGGTGTTCGTACTGCTGGACATATATTTATTTCTTTTTGTATTGTACCATCCAAAAACCAAAAGGAGGACAATCTTCCGAATAAATCCGAAAGGATATAATATTCAAAGAGGGCCCCCTGGATTGGAAAACCATCAAAGAAGAAAGGTTAGCCCAGAAACCGCAAGCAGAAAACAGAAGAAATGTTTCCAAGTTAATCCTTACCCATTTCTCAGCCCTTATATAAATACCCACGTAACAACTCGTCTCTTTGCTCTCCTTCACCTACAACTTCTACTCTTCTTCTGAAACCTTTTCGAAAATCTTCATAAAAAGATTTCAAACCGTTGGATCAAGAGACCAAGGGATCAATGGCTGACGTGGCGACAAAGGAGCGGAGGATCCTCGTGGCCGTCGATGAAGGCGAGGAGAGCGCCCACGCGCTCTCTTGGTGCATAAAAAACGTCATCATGCAAAATTCCAAGGATACCCTTTTCTTGCTCTACGCCAAGCCCCCACGGGCAGTTTACACGGCCCTAGATGGCACAGGTGAGAGAGAGGATCCTTCAGGTATATTGGACTTATGTTGGGGGTATTTTGGGACATCAAAAGAGACTAACGACTTTTCACTCGGTGTCGTTTCATGTTTCTTTTGTGGTATTTTATGTAAATTTGGTTGTTTTGTCAGGATATTTGTTTTCTTCTGACATAACGGCGGCTATGGAGAGCTACACTAATGACGTGGCGGACTGCGTGATAGAGAAGGCCAAGAGAATGTGCAAGGACCTTCACGATGTGAGTATACTGATTTCTTATAATGACTTTGATAATTAATGAATTATGCTTTTTTTAATTCGTATTATGTGAAGTGTATCATAGTTGGCAAGAGACTTGGAATTAACATATAATTAGGTGAATGATTAAAAAAATTAATATGAATGATCACTAATAGTGGTATGTAATATTATTAGTATTTTTTATTTTTTTTTTATTGAGATGTATAGTGAGAAATTTATGTGTGCTGGAGTAGGTTAAAGTGGAGACAAGAGTAGAGAATGGTGATCCAAGGGACGTGATCTGCCAGATGGTAGAGAAGCTTGGTGCTGACGTCTTGGTCATGGGAAGCCACGGTTACGGTCTGATCAAAAGGTCCTACTCCTTTTTCTCCTTTTCAACAAAATATTTGTTTTTTTTTTTCTTAGAATTATTAAATTAAATGTGTCACGCTGCTGCCGGTGAAATTTGATGAAATGTTCAAGAATTTTCCTCAATATAGATGTCTTTGATGAGTGGTTATATTAGTATTTTGCAAAGGGAAAAAGTAGTTTGTTCAATTTTAAGAAATAGATTTGATGAAGAAGAAAGTTTTTACTAACAAAAATAAGTTTTTGGTATTGTCAGGGCTTTTCTTGGGAGTGTCAGCAACCATTGTGCACAGACTGTGAAATGTCCCGTATTGATAGTGAAGAAGCCCAAAACAAATGCTGAGAACAAATGATTTTCTTCCTCTTCTTCTTCTTCCCTTTTTTCTTTTTTCCAATAAGATGTATGTGTATTTTCTGATGACCGTTCAGATTTTTTGTGGTCTTTTTGTTTTTGTTTTTTGGGTATAAACTTGCATGTGTACATACTGTACTACTGAGTGTATGTTTTTCATCATAAAAATTGAGAAAGCACGTGTACGCACTGTGAACCTTTCCTTTCAAGAAGCGGCAAAGGATGTATATAACTCGCGCATACCATATACAATGGGGGGGAAAAAAATGATTATCCTCAAAAAAAAAAAAAAAAAAAAAGGCTAGTCATAATTGAGGATATAATTAACATCCACGAAGAGGAGGTGCTGCAAGTCCATAAAACTTTCCCTTAATGCATGTTAACACGAATGTTTACATTAATTGGCTGATTCCTTGTATTAGCCTACAATAAAAATAAAGTGAGCATTTTGTTCTTTTCTGTTTTATTTTCCCATTTTTTCTGTTCTTTATTCAAAATGAAAAATGCCAGTAAACCAAAGGATTTGAATCTACAAGACTGATACGAGGAACAAAAATATTGCATATTTGCATCCATATAAGCAATTTTAGCATTGACAATAAAAGCCCATGCAGTCCCCGAAGAAGCAAGCAAAATTCTGTACGTTGACATGGATTTTGTTTGGACCCAAACCTCTGAAATTTTTGAGGCCTTTAAGAAGCCAATTCGAGTGATCGACGCCTAATGAAGAAGCAGTTCCTAAAAGTTATCCAATGCTAGCATGGATTTTCACGGGAGTAAACCTGTGTCTAATATATCTTCTAGTTTTGTATTATTTTTCTTTTTGTGTCTTTTAATTGGATTTTTCAATAACTGGCGTAGGACATTGGAGGTACAATAATTTTAGGGTACGCTCCTCAAACCCTTGAAAGGGACCCAAGCCAGCGATGGGTTTAGAGAAAGATTTAAGAGAGAGAAGCCTGTCGAGGCTGTTATTCTTGGGCAGGTATTTCTATTTTCTTCCTTACTCGTTACCTTACCAATGTAGAATTTGATGGTGTTTGTGGATTGGTTGAGGGGAAAAAAGAGAGGGCTTGTTCGCAATTGAAGAGAATGTAATCCCCCTTAAGAGCACAATTTCAGTTTTGAGAAAATGACAAAACTTACTACGGATCTTGACTCTTGATAGAGGACCACTCATGGAGCTTGCTTGTATTAGACAAACAGAAGCATAATGGCCCTCATAAATCGGTTGTTGACCTATTATTAAATACATTCCCAATCTACCTAAGCAATACAGAAGCCAAGAGACAAATAGAAAGCGACTCCATGTCCATCTACCAGATTGTTTGGACTTGTGCGCCAAAAACAGATCAACTCTTTAGTTTTTCAAGTTTTCTTGCCATTCTTCAGAGAATTTCTTGGTCGAAACTCAAAAGACAGGGACAGGCAATACAGAAAACGACATCGACAGGGCAACAAAGATTTCAGGAACCTAGGATCGGTTACGCTCACGCTCACATAATAAGGTTCAAAGCAACTTTTTCTTGTGCGTTCGGATATTCCACGCAACGCAAGTCGGCATCACAATAGTAATACACCATGATAATAACTTCGCTCTCACGATCATATATTCCCTCACGCGTGCAATGTTAGAGAGAGAGATTTGTAAAATGGGTCAATTTGAGTGCCATTTTCCAGCTTAAAAAGTCGGGAACTATTCATTTTGCGATGAAAAACACACAAATCAGCATATTGTTCTAGTGGCTCAAACTGCTAAAGTTCCTTCACCGAGAAAATTCCTACATGTAAAAATAAAATAAGAAAAAAAATTTCGGAGTACTCTTAACACCCCAGTTATCTCTTTGAACTTGCTGCACTTTCTCCCTACAGTTCATCCTGCAAATATACGGAGTACAAGATATGATAATCAGCAACTTGACATATAATGCAATTTCTCGACCACGAGATGAGAAAAGAAAACCTACATGCTTGTCGGACTCATTGGCCTCATCATTTTCTTCAATCGCCTCCGACTTTGTTTCGGCATCGGATTCATTTCCTGCATCATCGGTTTCTTCAGCTTCATCTTCATCCTCAGCCTGCAAACATGTCAACACGATCAGGACCAGACCAGAAAGTAGTTTCATTGATTTTTTAGGATAAGAGTAAAAAAGTTGAGCTTACATCAGAATCAACGGGATCATTCTTTGATTCCTGGTAAAGGATTAAATGCCATATATTAGTGAAGCATGGACTTAAAAAAAAAAAAATCATAATTTGGACAAACGTAGCCATGAATACCAGTAACATTTGAAGTAATATCCACAATAAATAACATAGTAGATGAAAAATTTAGTACCTCTTCCTCTATCTTCTTCTCTGCCTCATCAAATGCTGCCTTCTCAGCCTGAAAATACCATGGAAATTTGTTAGATATGGACAGATTATTTTATCCAAAGTTACCAGCAAGGCAAGGAAAATAGCGTACATCTTTCTGCTTGCCCCATGTTTCTTCAGCCAACTGCTTGGCGTACTCAGGATCATCAGTGATCAAGACATTATCAAACAGGGTTCCAGATTTCACCTGAAAAATTATCCATCGAGCTTACCAGTCTGAGACAGTTGCATGAAAATAACCATAAAATGCAAGTAGGCAGTAGACAATTTTTTACCTGCCATAGTTCAATTCCCACATATTTCAAATTGGGGAAAACATAGAGATTAGGGTCGTCCTTGAAATCTGTAAAAAGGATTAAAACTTCATACCGTTAATGCACACCATACTAGAAAGTTAATTTTTGATTCAATGCAAAACAAATGAAAACGAACCTGGGTTGTCAATAAGTGGTGCCTTCCATTTTCCCTTGTAGTTGGGGTTCTTAATTTTCTGCAGAGAGATGGATGGAAGTCATAAGGAAACTGCTGCAATTTTGTATGAAATATACTTGAGTTTCGAACGAGGATTCCACTAACCTTTGCCTTCCATGGGCCCTTGTACTCTGGGTTGGGAGTTGTTGGTGCTGTCCATTCACCATCTTCCTCTTCATCCCAATCTTCAGGCTGAATACACAAACCAGCTTAGTAACTACAATACGTTTTTATGGATGTATAATAAATTGAAACACAAGAGTCTATCCTTGCCTTCTTAGCATCAGGATCCGGAATCTCTTTTGGAATGTCATCATAACCCTTTGATTGCAGAAAAGGACGCATTTTAGTATATATGTTCAGTCACCGAATAATAAATAAAACATCTAATAAAAGGAAGAAGAACCATCCAAATCTATGGTAATTACCTCTGGCTTCTTATCCTCGGGATCTGGAATGTACTCTTTGTCATCCCAATCTTCAGGCTGTCAAACATTGTTTTGTCAAATTGTTGTCAAATCTAAAACCCAGGAGAAGAATCTAAAAAGAAACCGATAAGATGTTTGTTCACAAGTGATTACTTTCTTAGCTTCGGGATCCTTGATTTGCTTAGGAGGAAGAAGATCCCAGTCCTTGTAGAGACTGCCAGATTGCTTCTCCACATTGTCAATAAGGATGGTGTAGGTAGCATCTGGTCGAAGAATAAATGTGTATACATGACTGAGCTGGTCAGTCTCACAAGGAACATCCTTCTTGATCAAATGATTAGACCCGTTGTAGTTAAGAATGGCGTGGACTTTCTTGGTGCTGTAACCACAGATATCTGGTCCAAACATGATGCTGCAAGTGGCCGAACACCACCCCCAATCAGAAAGTTAAACGTGAATGAGAAAATAGGGTAAACAAACGAAACTCATAGAGAGCTATTATCAACCTGTATGGTGTATCACCGCCAAATTTCTTCTGATCTAATTCACCACTGATTAACTTCATGTACCCACCACCACAATCAAGCTTCTGCTCATGCTTAACGGAGAATTGGAAAACTAGTGTGTTATCCTTGTTGCTGAATTCAGGGAACTCAGCTGAAATGGCGTAGAATCTGTAATCTTCACTTGTCTGAATACCTGCATCAAAAGATCAAAATGTTCCAAGCTCATAAGCAGAACTTAAAATTCTTTAATCTTTAGAAAATCAAGCATATAAAAAATCACACAGAAAAAACTGCTTCCTTTACCTTTGTCATTGGCGTCCCCATGCCACTTACCGGAGGTGTAATTCCACTCCCCAGCCATGTTCTCATCTTTCTTCCAGTCAGATTTAACCCACTGGCTCTCCCATCCATCTTCAATGTTCCAAGAATGTATTACAACAAAAGGAAATGAGATTAGAATAGCATATGCATATGTATTTAAATAATCAACTTAACAAAGTCAATTGGCCTTGGCCTTTCTACTTTAACAAAACATTCCCTGTTAACTTCTCATAGGAGCATTGCAACGTCAAGAGACAATTTAAACAGTGAGGAAATTATAAATCAAATTTAATTTTCTGGACTAGATGCTTACACGAACCCATGTGTTATTATGAACACATGGAGTAACATACACTCATAATGGAAAACAAGTTCAGCTTCCATCCTATTCAGTTCCAAAAGAAGCTCAGTCACATTTGACTCCATCCTAATCGTCTCAAATGCAATATTTTACAATTAAGCTATCAAATCTTTATTCTATCCACGTTATATGGAACCCACGGAATAACCAATAAGGGTCTTGATAGACACCGAGGTCGGCAAGCTTATAAATACATTGTATATATAAAGACAAGAGCACCTCGTAACAACAACAAGCCTTAATCCCAACTTAATCAGGATCAGCTATATGGATTTCACTTTTTCACACAACTATGTTCGAAATTAAACTTTCCTGAAGGCCTAGATCTAGAATGTCTTTCCTAACTAGAGAAATTTTCACGTTTTCAATTTGAATGAAATCTTCTGAATAGCTCTCTAAACCTTTACTTTCTGCCATTGTAACTTTTACCATACCAAATGCTAAAGTAAAAGCTCGGACATTAAAATTGAGATCATAGCTTCCAAATAAAACTCATATCTTGATCAAAGTTAAGAGCATTTCCATTTCCATATCGAAAACCAAGAAACAGATCACAAATTCGTAAGTGTTGAAGATTCATAGATCTACTTCAGATCATCAATGTCAGTCCATTTCCAACTTCTAATCAAACACTAACGAAAAATAACGACCGCAGATCCATAGCAAAAAGGAAAAAAAAAAGTAAATCAAAAGAACGTCGATCCTTCGCAAATCAAACGGAATTAACGTATAATGATCGATACAGAACCTCAAAAAACAAAATTCATCCGAAATGCAAGCGAACACCGAAAATTTTGCAGAAACCAAACACGAAAAGATGCAAAAACAAATCGTTGACATAAAAGTAGCCATGGATAGAGATATATACCATCAAAGCGCTCTTCGAAGAACACTTTCGCGGATGCGCTAGCGAGAACGGAGATGAGGAGGATCAGAGAGAGAAGCTTAGGGTTTCGAACCCCGAACGCCATGGCTGTTACAGAGGAAGTAAGAGAGAGAATTGAAACTACAGGGTGAGCTCTGAAATGAGACGGGGACTATATATGAAGATACGCGCGTGGTTTCTGCCCTCGGTTGTTAGACCGTGGGTAAAGTCCGACGTGGACAAAATTTATGACATGGACAAACGTAAGATCGCCGCGTCATCAAAGCTTGTCATTGGAGCCACGTGGCGATTTCCGATTGGGTACTACACTGCTCGTGCTGTTGGCAATTGGACGCCACCACGTAGGTTCTTCAGTCTGATAGACTAGATTTACGATAAAACCCCTCGGCCTCTGGGATTCTATTGGATTGGCAGATCATGGATGGCCAATTTCTGACACGATTGACACGTGGCACTGTAAAATAGTATTCCTTTTAAGAAACACTGCAAATAGTGATTGACTATAGACCCGTTCGGTTCGCTAATTTAAGTTTTTAATTCTAGTTGAGATGTGATATTGTGTAAAAAAATTTTATTGTAGCAAAAAAATTAAATGTGACTGTTTCTGAAAGCTTTTTACTGTAACAAAACTCGAATTCTAAACTCAAATCAGCGAAATGAACGGGGTCTATATTGTACCCCATTTGGTTCGCTAATTCAAATTTTTAATTAGAGTTGAGATGTGATGTTGTGTGAGAGTTTTTTAATGTAGTAAAAAAATTAGATGTGACTGTTTCTGAGAGCTTTTTACTATAGCAAAACTCGAATTATAAACTCGAATAAGCGAAATGAACCGGGCCTGATAATTTCAGATTAATTCTCCAAAAAACAATCAGATTAACCAAAAATGACATTAAAATTCAATAAATATATAATCGTGTCTAATGAAAAAAAAAATCAAATCATGAAAAGTTCCATTTCTGGATTTTAAAAAAAAAATGTTTTAGAAGGACCGCTACAACTAAAAATTATTGAAAAATAATAAAAAAATAGATCAATATGAAAAGCTTAAGAAAGTATATAGGCTAATTTTTAGTTATAGAAATTAATACGTCATAACTTGTCAAGTTATGATTCATAATCAGATAAGTTATGGACAAACTTATCAAGTTATGGTTCATAGCCAGACAAGTTATGGACAATTATAGACAATAACTTGTCAAGTTATAGTTCATAACCAGACAAGTTATGAACAATTATAGACAATAACTTGTCAAGTTATGGTTCATAACCAGACAAGTTATGAACGAAAACAGTAATTTAGCCTATTTATTAACTTATGTAAACTATTAACCTATTAATTTTAATTCATCTCAAGTCATGACATATTTTATTCTTTCTCCCGAAATTATATTCGGCCATGTTTTTGCGTTAACTTAAGGCCGTTAAATTAGTATTGGTCTGACTTGTAAAACTGTATAATGGTTGGAGTTCCACGTTCAATTTTATTTAACTGGTCCTTTGTGCTTAACTAAAGGGTGAAAAATTAAAGACTCGTTTAGAATGTATATTAAAATTATAATTTTTTATTTTAATTTTTAAAATTTAAATTTTTTATTAGATTCGTTTAGAATGCATATTAAAATTATAATTTTTTATTCTAATTTTTAAAATTTAAATTTTTTATTAAAAAACACTAATTAATAATTTAAGTTTTAATTCATAAAATAAACGGATTTTAAAACCTGTAAAGGTAAGACTGAAGTAAAAGATTCAACTAACTTTGACAAAATCATGATGGTTGAATTTTTCAAACTAACACTTTAAATTAGATATAACTTTTTTTTTTCTTTCTAGAAAACAACTCAACCATGCATTTAGATACATAAAAACTACACTCTGGACGATGTTATATAAGAAAAATTTACTATAGTGGAGAGTAATTATTTTCAGTGGAAGGTCGAAGGTCGAAGAATGTCTCTTTTTTAATCATTTTTGTAATGAAGATAAGAAAAATGATTTGTAAATATTGTATTGGTTTCTTGGCCTCAGTAGTTGATACTTCAGTTCGAGATGAGTTAAAACCTAAAGATGTGTCAGTTGTTATGGAGTATTTAGAAGTTTTTCTTAAAGATCTTCCTAGTCTTTCTCCAGATTGAGTGATAGAATTTGTCATTGATGTTGTTCCAGGAACATCTCCTATTTCTAAAGCACAAAAAAAAAAAGCATCTTTGTTGGTACAAAGATACTAAGGACAAACATTCTGGAAATTACACGAATACGTTCTTGTTGGATGAAAATTGTGGTTAAACGTGCGCTTTATACTTTGAAAGTGGAAAATTGGAAACCATGCACATTCCTTAGTTTGTCTATTTTAAAATGTTGAGTTAAACCTACATTTTGATCTAAAACACATTAACGAAGTGCCCAAATTTGAAAAACTTCAAAATGACATAGTCTTTCTATACAGACGTTGATACAGATATATAGCCCCTAACACCATTACAAGGAGTAAAGCTCATACTGATAAGGTCTCATACCAATAATTCATATTTTTAATGGTTAAATATATCAAAATCACTTCAAAATTAAAGTACAGAGAACATGTGATTTTTTATACAGTTCTAATAATTAAAGATTGAGAGTTATTAATCGTTTATTTTTTAAGCACTATAATAGAAACTCCAAAATGAAATGGGAACTGTCTCTAGTAGGCCGTTTTACCAGTATAATCAATTTTTTTACTTTTAAATTTGATTAAAATCAAATGAGATTAAAAAAAATATACAAAATAATCAATTTTTAATATAAATTTAACGGTTAAAAAGGATTAAAAAAAGTAAAATTATCAATAATTTTATTTTTCTATAGCTTTCTTTGCCCCTACACGTAACTGATAAGGTTGTAAGGAATCATGCTTAGTAATTAGGAGAAAACGTTAATGGAAGAGGCACTATTCCATAGCATAAGATTAGTTTTGTCGTTTCATCAAACAACAATTTAAATGATAAGTTTGGGCACTGTAAGTATTTCGAAATCTCTGAGTGGGCCGGCAACCTAAGCTGTGTTTGAATGCTTGGATCAGAAGCTACTCAAGAGCCAATTAATTAGAGGCAAAAAATAGGTGAACCAGCCTTTTTACATGGTTGGAATCGGCTTCTTCAGTTTTCACATAAAACTACTACTTTGTGCGTCGGATCACTATGACTCGTTCATTTCGTCGATTCGAATTTAGAATTTGAGTTTTATTATAGTAAAAAACTCTCAGAAATAATCACATCTAACTTTTTTACTACAGTGAAAAGCTCTCATATAAAGTCACATCTTAACTCAAATTAAAAACTCGAATCAGTAAAATGAACGAGATCATATGAGTATGACCAGTTTTCCACATTTTTGTCAGTGGTGGCCATGGTCATAAGATTTTGGTACTATCTTTACTAGGATTAAAACTTGCCCATGTAAAGTAAGAAATATGGGCTCGTTCTTTTGCAAGTATTCTTGAGTTAAGTTTTTGAGTTGAGTTTGAGTTATAACTTGAGTTGAAGTTGTAACTTGAGTTTGCGTTTAGTTGTGTATACTTGAGTTATAGTTTGAGATAAACCTCTTTTTGACTTTGTATTTGTTTGTGGTAAAACTTGAGTTATAAATAGTGTATATGATTTTTTTTCCTTTAACAATTTTATTCAGGGCTTGTTCTTTTGAGTGAAAAACTCAAAAAAAAGGCAATTTGAGTTATAACTTTATTCGAGTTCATGTTCTTTTAAGTTTAAACTTGAGTTTAAACTCGAGTTCAAACTCGAGTTTAGGACTAAAACTCGAGTTTAAGTTTTCCCTTCAACTCGAGTTCAGAAACTTGAACTCAAATTAATGAACAGTATTTTTTCTATTCTTAAAAATGCTATAACTTTTTCGTTTTAATTCTGATTGAGATGATTTTTTTTCTATGCGTTGACAACGAAAAGACGAATAAAATCCGACCCATATGCCCTATTAAAATTTTTCATTAGCATTGAGTTTTTATTAAAATACTATATAAATACAAATTCAAGTTTTGACTCACTCAAACACAAACTCAAAAAGATTCTTATCTCAAACCATAACTCAAATGTACACAACCAAACACAAACTCAAGTTATAAGTTCAACTCAAGTTATAACTCAAATTCAACTAAAAAATTATACTCAAGTTAAACTCCAAAAGAACAAGCCCTCAATTCTTTTACAATTTTTTTATTTTCTGAATTTATTAATTTTTTTTGTAATTGAATATGAATAATTTAAAAATTACTTATAAATAATTATTGGTAATCTGATAATTTTTAAAAACACATAATTACAAAAGTAAAAAATAATAAAAATAAAAAGTAGAAGATCAGTTTTCATTTTAATTAAGTTAAAAAATACAACAATAAATACATAAATTATAACATAAGTATTTATAGATCCTATAACATCATATCGTCGCATATCAACATCTTTTGAACGAGGGCTATTAGCGTGCACGACGGTGACAGTGCACTGCCCACATTGTATGCGCCCTTGCATCCTTTAAAGCATTCATCTCCAATTCTGCATTAGATTTCAATGGTTGACCCTCATGGTTAGTATTGTCGTTAATGTCCTCATCAACATTCTGTAAATCAATGTCTGCAACCGGAACGCCATCTTGTGAGTATTGGTCTAATAGGCTGTCCCCATTACGGTACATATGGATAAAATTATGTATTATAGCACACGCTACTGGAATCATAACTTGTTTGGTAATGGGGTAATGGTTAATGGTTCTCAAAATACGAAATCTAGCCTTCCACACACCAAATGTTCTTTCAATGACATTACGCAGTGAGGAGTGGGTGTAGTTGAAAAGCTCACGTTCGCTGTGAAACCCTCTTTCACGGCGAGTCCTATACTCTTGCAAGTGGTATGTTGTCCCCCGATATGGTGCCATGAAGCATCCGTTGTTAGCGTACCCCGAGTCGACGAGGTAAAATTTTCCTACACTTATACGTATATTAATTAACAAATAAGCGTACGGATGAAGTTTTTGAAATGTCAGTGTACATATAAAAAATCATTGTAAGCGGACCTGGTGGCGGTTTCAGAAATCTTTTGGTTGCGGATTCTAAGGCGGCAGCTAGTACTCTCGCATCGTGTGCGGAACCCTCCCATCCAGATAACATGTACGTAAATTTCATATCAAAAGAGCACACGGCAAGCACATTAAGTGAAAAGAACCCCTTCCTATTTTGTAAAGTTCAGCAGTTTCACGAGGGGGAACACATGGGACGTGAGTACCGTCAAGTGCTCCAACACAATCCTTCATAGTTTACAAGAGTTATGTTGGTTATATTAAACAACGTAATAATTTTTAGAAAGCATTATAAATCGCAATAAAATTTAGATTTGGCTAACTAATGTAGATTACCGAACTTACATCGAACCACAGCGAGTATTTATTTCCACTTGCAATTATGTACGGGTCAACGGTTTGAAAATCTGGATGTCTAATGAATTCCTTCTTCAATGTGCATATCGCCTCAAGAACTTTGGTGAAGTACTCAGACACCATTGATCCAGATCGCTGCCAAGTGTGCTGCGCCTCCCTGTTAGTTTGGTTCTGACATAATATAGTTAGGAATATGAATAATTGCTCATCAACATTTACGTGGACAGTCGGTTGCAATAAGCCCCTTTCCTCAAGGATATAACTTAGGCGCAAGAATGCATCACTACTCATACGGACTTTGTCATACATCACTGTTGGACTACGTTCCAGATAATAATTCACTCTAAGTGCCCTTCCCCAACCAGAAGTGTGCCTTCGGCGAGAAGGTTCCCTGTATACAAATCTAATACATAGCATAGTCGCCGCAACCACTACTTGCATGAAAAAATCATCGTCACTGTCATAGTCTGATTCATTAGAACCCATTGGGTTTGAATTCCCGCCTATATCCATCCCTGTCAAATTTTCCAAATAATAAAGCAAAAAGTTACAAAATGAAAATCATATGCATAGACTTAGAAACTACATATTAAACAACTCTTGCAGAAATAAGTTTACATTAAGCAACAACTCCTCAACCAAATGTGCCGCAACCTAATAAGAATTACTCAATTAGTACTAATAACGACAAACAATGAAGGAAATAAAACCATAACCATAACAATTTTGACAAGTCTCTGTTGTCCCGAATAAGGCTACCCAAGAGGGGGGTGAATTGGGTTTTGAATATTTTTCGAGAGTTTATACGATTATTCGAAGATTAAAACTAAATATAGACAATTAATTGAACAAGGTACTTTTATCAAACACTTGGTGTACAGAAAATTATGTAAGTTAATGCAATAGCACAACCACTTGATGTACACAGGATGGACCAATCTAATATCATAAAAAGAGTTCAATAAACTTATCACGACGAGTTAAACCAATCAATGTCAACAATCAAATTTAAAGTGCGGAAATTAAAGAGATAGAGTTAGAGAGATGCAAACGAGATTTATAGTGGTTCGACAAATAAATTTGCCTACATCCACTGTCGCCGAGATATTCTGCCTCTCGATCTCTTTCACTATTCGATCGACTTTTCGGCACGATCACTCCTCTTACAAGAAGGTGAATCTTTCTACCCGAGGCGTCGCCTAACCTCTTACACAATGTCGATTTTCCACGAAGATCGACCAACCAAGTAACCCAATACCAAAGTAATGATTATGAGTAATGAAGCACTTAGTTTTACTCTCCTAACAATGGTTTTACACAGTTAAAATCACTAAGAGATGATGAACTCACACTATCACAAGATAATTCAAGGTAGGCTCAATTATGTGTGAGAGAGTTAAGGATTTAGAGAAGATGATGATTATGTAGACACAATGGAGAACTCTCTTTTTGATTTTTGAAGCTTTGAATTCGTTCTCTGTTTTTCGTAAAAATCAACTATTGAGAAAAATGAATTTTCTCTATTTAACCTCTCTTGCTAACGGTCATATTTTTGCCCGTTTACCCAGTACCGGTCGACCGGAGCGGTTGACCGGTTGAGACAAATTTAAATTCGTGTTGTTCAACATTCTTATTGAGTGTCTGTTCAACAAAATCGGTCGACCGGAGCGGTTAACCGGTTGAGGCATCACCGGTCGACCGGTGCATTTAGCCTTCTCTGTCACCGGACGACGTAGGTCGACCGGTTGACACTTAATTTGCCTCAAATCTTCACACATTTGTACTTTTAGGCCTAATTACGCTAAATACACAACTCAAAATAGAATCATTAGAAACATAATACATTGTGTTTGTGATCATCAAAACATGAGAATATTCAACCTTGGGCCAACAATCTCCCCCTTTTTGATGATGACAAACACTTGATTTGCTAAGATAATATAAGCAATTATATTGTTCTTCTTTACAAGTGTTATGTCTCCCTCTTATTTAATCACTTGATACTTACTTGAAAATATTCTCCCCCTTAATCTATTAAGCCATTAGAGAGAATGCCTCAATTGATCATTTTTATGTTTCCTTTCCCCCTCAAGTGATAATGGACTAAACAACAAATAGGAATATCAAGTGACAATAGGCAATAACACTTAACACTTGATACCCCATCTCCCCCTTTTGTCATCAACAAAAAAAAAATCATAACAATGTAATCACCAAATAAGTTACATTAGTCATTAGTAATGAAGTAACCATCAAAAGACATAGTGAAACATTAATCATTTATCTAAGAAGGAGGAGGTCCTTGAAAATTGATACGACGAAGTTGTTCAAGAATTTGTGCTTGCGTATCGGCGATTTCTTGATGATGGACTTGAAAATCATTCCGGAGATTAGAGATGCTTGAATCGACAAAGGAGTAGAGACTTTGGATGCCGGTGTTTAGTTGCGTTCGAAGCTCATCATGACTTGCACAAAGGGACTCAATCCGTCCATGAAGGTGATTGAATGCATCGTCATTGAACCGGGTTGAACTGCCTCCAGTCTCTTCTTCGTCTCCTTCATTTTCAACTCTGGCCCTTTTCTTCAGAATCCACCTTCCATTCTCAAACTTGTTGCCCATGAGTTTGATCGTGATTTTATTGTAATCAGATTTGGGTGGAATAACGTCAGTTTCGTCATCAAGATCCACGTTGAAATGATGAAAAATCTTTGTTAGCACCATCCCATAAGGAAGACTCGGATCCCTAGCCAAATTATTACCCCCCATCATCTTGTGAAGGATCAAATAGGGAAGGTTTGTCCGTTCACTTTGGAAAGAATTTGTGCTTGCGTATCGGTGATTTCTTGATGATGGACTTGAAAATCGTTCCGGAGATTAGAGATGCTTGAGTCGACAAAGGAGTAGAGACTTTGGATGCTGGTGTTTAGTTGCATTCGAAGCTCATCATGACTTGCACAAAGGGACTCAATCCGTCCATGGAGGTGATTGAATGCATCGTCATTGAATCGAGTTGAACTGCCTCCAATCTTTTCTTCGTCTCCTTCATTTTCAACTCTGGCCCTTTTCTTCAGAATCCACCTTCCATTCTCAAACTTGTTGCCCATGAGTTTGATCGTGATTTTATTGTAATCAGATTTGGGTGGAATAACGTCAGTTTCGTCATCAAGATCCACGTTGAAATGATGAAAAATCTTTGTTAGCACCATCCCATAAGGAAGACTCGGATCCCTAGCCAAATTATTACCCCCCATCATCTTGTGAAGGATCAAATAGGGAAGGTTTGTCCGTTCACTTTGGAAAAGGCAGAACATCAGATAAAGATCGGTGAATGAAACCTCATCCCTATGCCCTCCTCTAGGAGTGATATTGTTTGAAATAATGTGGTGGATGACTCTACTCCTAAGGGGTAGTTCATTGGCTTTTGGCTTTGGGAGTAGAGGCTTAATCTCGTCTTCATCGCTCCATTGAGTTGGGGTTTTGTCCATAATAATCATTGACATTATTTCCCCATGATAAGCCCAAGAGTCACAAGTATGCACACATTTTCCCACATTCGGAATCCTAAAAATGTTTGAGATTACCTCTCTATCAAGTTCTATGCGTTGTCCCTAGAGAGTGCATGATAGTTGGACATTGGTGTCACAAGTAGTGTATTCCATATGGGCATAAAAGGCTTTTACTAACCTAGGGTAGACTACTTCCTTAACCTCTACAAATGCTTTCCAACCTAGAGTCTCAAACAATCTCTCAATATCTAACTCTCTAAACTCACTAAAGTCCACAAATCTTCCTTCTACAATAGATTTCTTTTCAAAAAGCTTAAAGAAACGAGAATTAAATTCAGCATTGGATACCTTCTTTCGTGGCCCAGAGGAAGTGGATTTCACATTTTTTCCTTTTCCACGTGATGATTGACCCTGCGAAGCCATTGAAGCAATCTGTCGAACACTTTGTGGGTGATTTCCGGATTGGAGTGGATTGGAAGTGAAAGTTGAGAAATAGTGGAAAGAAATGAGAATGTGAGAGGAAGAACGTTTCTTCAGAGGTTTTGATTATGATTGTAGAGGAAATTTGAAGAAGCTTGGATGATTTTGAGGAATGTTGTGGATTGGGGGTGTTTTTGGCTCCTAGGGCTCGAGTTTGAGTTAGAGAGAGTGAGGGAAAAAAATCTTTAGAACTGATTTAAAAAAAACTGTCGCGAACCACCGGTCGCCCGTTGCGGTCGACCGGTTGATTATAACGCCACTGTCTCCGATCGACCGGTGTATACAGAAAACGTGAAAAGATAGTTGATTTTAGCAGACAAGGCCTAATCAACCAACAACCAAATATAGCATATGTTTCCTCATACACCATCACACAAGCAAAATAACAATATCAATCTATTTTAGCATTAAATCATCTAGTCATAGATCAAATACTTAATTCCTAAGTGATCAAATTTAATTCCGTAGCATCTAATAATCCTAAACCTCTTCTAAGTGAAGCAAATCTTTCAAGGGCTAGAGGCTTGGTAAGGATATCCACAATTTGATGATTAGTGCTAATGAATTCTAATGTGATATCACCCCTTTGTACATGATCACGCAAGAAATGATGTCTAATTTCTATGTGTTTGGTGCGTGAATGCAAAACCAGATTTTTTGACAAGTTGATTGCACTGGTATTATCACACATGATAGGCACATGATCATAGCTCAATCCTAGGTCTAGAAGTGTTTGCTTCATCCAAAGGACTTGCGCACAACAGCTGGCTACCGAGATATATTCGGCTTCCGCCATTGATAGAGCAACCGAATTTTGCTTCTTACTAAACCAAGAAACTAGTGCAAATCCTAGAAAATGACATGTACCACTAGTGCTTTTCCTATCTATGGTGCAGCCTGCCCAATCAGCATCCGAATAACTAAACAAGTCAATGTCTGTGCCCTTTGGATACCATACTCCTAAATTCTTAGTGCCACTAAGATATCTAAAAATTCTTTTTACCGCATTTAGATGTGACTCTTTAGGATTTGATTAATATCTAGCACACAAACAAACACTATACATAATGTCTGGTCTACTTACAGTTAAGTAAAGTAAGGATCCGATCACACCTCGATATTTCATTATGTCCACTGTCTTACCATTTACATTCTTGTCTAATTTAATAGATGAGCTCATTGGAGTAGATAGAGGCTTCATGCCTTCAAAGTCAAACTTCTTAAGTAGATCTTTGACATACTTAGCTTGATTGATGAAGATGCCTTCCTTTGTTTGTTTAATTTGAAGACCAAGGAAGAAGTTGAGCTCTCCCATCATACTCATTTCAAACTCACTATGCATGCACTTTGAAAACTCTTCACAAAGGGAAACATTAGTAGAACCAAAAATAATATCATCAACATAAATTTGTACAATAATTAGATCATCACCCTTTGTTTGTGTAAATAGTGTAGTATCAACTTTTCTAATTGAAATCTATTTTGGAGTAAAAATTTACTAAGTCTATCATACCAAGCTCTAGGAGCTTGCTTTAAACCATATAAAGCCTTTTTCAATTTAAAGACATGATCCGGACACTTGTGATATTGAAAACCGGGTGGTTGTTCTACATATACTTCTTCTACAATGTATCCATTAAGAAAAGCACTTTTAACATCCATTTGATAAAGAGTGAACTCTTTGTGGCATGCAAAGGCTAATAACATTCTAATGGATTCTAATCTAGCAACTGGTACAAAGGTTTCTTCATAATTGATTCTTTCTTCTTGATTGAAGCCTTGGGCCACTAGTCTAGCCTTGTTTCTCACAATCACACCGTGCTCATCTCTTTTATTCCTAAAGACCCACTTGGTGCCAATCACAGATTGAGTACTAGGTCTAGGGACTAATTCCCATACATCACTTCTTTCAAATTGATTTAGCTCTTCTTGCATCGCTAAAATAAAAAATTCATCAATTTCGGCATCTTTAAAACTTTTTGGTTCAATTTGTGAAAGAAAAGCTAAATTATTCTAAACATTTTTAAGTGATGATCTAGTAACCACTCCTTATGAGATGTCACCTAAGATTTTATCTTTAGGATGAGGGCTACTATACCTCCATTCCTTCGGTAGTTGATTGGATGTACTATCTTGTTTTGAATCATTAACTTGATCCTCTTGATGTTGTGGTGTGTTGTAAGATTGAGGTTCTTTCTCCTTGGGATCCATTGCTTCTTTGTCATTCAACTCCATATTGCTCATTTTATGCTCCAAACCTAAATCATCATCATCTAGACTTTTCTCCACAAAGGTGTTAGTTTCATCAAATACGACATGCATGGATTCTTCTACAACTAAAGTTCTTTTATTAAATACTCTATAAGCTTTGCTAGTAGTAGAATAACCAAGAAAAATTCCAACATCGGATTTTGCATCAAATTTTCCCAAGTTGTCTTTGGTGTTTAAAATAAAACATTTGCAACCAAAGACTCTAAAATAACCAATGTTGGGTTTTCTACCCTTCCAAAGCTCATATGGAGTTTTATCCATTTTTGGTCTAATAAGAACTCTATTTACAATGTAACAAGAAGTGTTAACCGCCTCGGCCCAAAAGTATTTTGGTAATCCATTTTCATTTAACATAGACCTAGCCATTTCTTGTAGAATTCTATTTTTCCTTTCAACAACACCATTTTGTTGTGGTGTTCTTGGTGTCGAGAAATTATGTTTATACCCATTCTCATTACAAAGTGTTTCAAAAGCATCATTATCAAATTCTCCACCGTGATCACTTTTAATGGTGGTAATTAGATAACCTTGCTCATTTTGAACTCTTTTGTAAAAATATAAAAATATTTTCAATGCTTCATCTTTAGTTGCTAAAAAGATTACCCATGTATATCTTGAAAAATCATCAACAATGACAAATTCATAATGTTTTTCACCGAGACTTGTTATTCTTGATGGGCCAAATAGATCCATGTGAAACAATTGCAAAGGTCTTATTGTAGAGATTTCTAAAATAGATTTGAAAGAGGTTCGAACTTGCTTTCCAAATTGACATGCATCGCAAATTTTATCCTTTTGAAAAGGAAGGTTTGGTAATCCTCTAACAACTTCTTTTCTAGAAAGTTTTGAAAGTAGGTGCATGCTAGCATGACCAAGTCTTCTATGCCAAAGCCAAGAATCATCATTTAAAACGGAAAGGCATTGATTTTTATATGATAACTTTTCAATATCTATTGTATAAACATTTTCACTTCTATCACCAATAAACACCACTTCATTATTGCAAACATTTTCAATCAAACATTTTGATGATTCAAAAACAACTCGGTATCCCTTATCGCATAATTGGCTAATACTAAGTTATGTTTCAAATTATCAACGAGAAATACATTTTCAATTAAGGGAGAGGCACTATTACCGACATCGCCAACTCTAAGAATTTTTCTTTTTGTGTTGTCGCCAAATGTCACACGTCCTCCGTTTTTCCTTGTGAAATTTTTAAGTAAGGAAAGGTCTCCCGTCATGTGTTTTGAGCATCCGCTATCTAAAAACCACTTGACCTTTTCCTCTCTTGGCTCCTACAAGGCAAAATCAAGTTTTGATTTTTGGTACCCACATAAATTTGGGTCCTTGAGGGTTAGTTCTTGAAACTTGTTTGGTTTCAAAGTATGTGTTCCTTTTAATGGCACGTGAGAAAGATGTGTGGCCATTTTGATTGCAATAAGTGCACACATATTTTGAATCCGATGTTGATGCTTTAACAAAATAGTTTTTAAAATATTTTGTTTTACATGAGGCTTGTAACCAAGACCTCCTTTGTTGAAAACACATCTTTATCCACCAAGCATTTGATCAAAGTTTTTCTTTCCATTGGTGAACTTCAAAATGATCTTTGTCAAATCATCAACCTTTTCTTTTAAGGTGACATTTTCACATAATATCATACTTTTCTCATTTGTCAACAATGTGATGTCTTTCTTAAGTAGTTCTATAGTTTTTCTATGAGATGCATTTCTATGAGCAAGTTTAGTATATTCTTCATGTAATTCGGAAAATGCATGTTCTATATCCTTATTTGAAAAAGTTATAATACTATTTTCCTCGATATGAAGTTTAGAATTTGAGGTTACCTCATTATCATCAATGGCCATGAAGCACATATTTGCTATTTCTTCTTGCTCATCACTATTGGATTTTCCGAGCTCTAATTCATCCCAAGTTGCTTGGAGAACCTTTTTGAGTTCATCTCTTTTGGAGCTCTTCTTGTTGCTCCTTTTGAGAGGACACTCCGTCCGCTTGTGTCCGGGCTTCTTGCAATCATAGCAAATGATTTCATCCCTTTTGATTTTGTCTCCCCTTTCTTCATTTCTTCTTGAGCTCTTGCCTTGGTTATACTTGTTGTAGAATCTCTTGTATTTCTTGGTGAATAGGGAGATCATTTCCTTGTCTAATTGATCAAGTTCGTCTTCTTCCTCATGTTCATTAACTTCTTCTTGGATTGAAGCTTTCAATGCTATTCCTTTCTTTTTCTTGTCATCTTCTTCCTTGTCTTTCATTCGAGAGAGTTCATGAGTCATTAAAGATCTGATCAAATCATCAAGTGAGATAGTTGATAGGTGTTTCATTTCCTCCAGGGTGGTTCTCTTGACACTCCATGACTTAGGCAATGACCTCACGATCTTGTTCACCAATTCACTTTCCTTGAATGGTCTGTCAAGAGAATTTAAACCGTTAACTATATCGGTGAATCGTGTATACATAGAGGTGATTGATTCATCATCTTTCATTTCGAATATTTCGTATGCATGAACGAGATGATTTATCTTAGTTTCTTTTTCTTGGTTTGTACCCTCATGTATTACCTCTAAAGAATGCCATATGGCTTGTGCGGACTTACATGAAGTGATCCTATTAAACTCATTTCTATCTAAAGCACAATACAAAATGTTCATAGTTTTAGCATTTAAGGATAATTTTCTTTCATCATCTTCATCATATTCACTAGGGTCCTTAGGAACTAATTTATCTTCATTTCTCTTTGTGGGAACAAATGGACCATTTTTGACATTTCGCCACAAGGCATAATCGATAGATTGCAAATAAATTCTCATTCTTACTTTCCAATAATTCTAATCAACCCCATTAAAAAGAGAAGGTCTATGTGTAGATTGACCTTCTATGTTTTGAAAGTTTTGTGTAGCCATGCTCAAGATTGTAAAATCTTTTTAAAGAAATTTGAGCAACCTCGCTCCGATACCAATTGTTGTCCCAAATAAGGCTACCCAAGAGGGGGTGAATTGGGTTTTGAATATTTTTTGAGAGTTTATACGATTATTCGAAGATTAAAACTAAATATAGACAATTAATTGAACAAGGTACTTTTATCAAACACTTGGTGTACAGAAAATTATGTAAGTTAATGCAATAGCACAACCACTTGATGTACACAGGATGGACCAATCTAATATCATAAAAAGAGTTCAATAAACTTATCACGACGAGTTAAACCAATCAATGTCAGCAATCAAATTTAAAGTGCGGAAATTAAAGAAATAGAGTTAGAGAGATGCAAACGAGAATTATAGTGGTTCGATAAATAAATTTGCCTACATCCACTGTCGCCGAGATATTCCGTCTCTCGACCTCTTTCACTATTCGATCGACTTTCCGGCACGATCACTCCTTTTACAAGAAGGCGGCGAATCTTTCTACCCGAGGCTTCGCCTAACCTCTTACACAATGTCGATTTTCCACGGAGATCGACCAACCAAGTAACCCAATACCAAAGTAATGATTATGAGTAATGAAGCACTTAGTTTTACTCTCCTAACAATGGTTTTACACAGTTGAAATCACTAGGAGATGATGAACTCACACTATCACAAGATAATTCAAGGTAGGCTCAATTATGTGTGAGAGAGTTAAGGATTTAGAGAAGATGATGATTATGTAGACACAATGGAGAACTCTCTTTTTGATTTTTGAAGCTTTGAATTCGTTCTCTCTTTTTCGCAAAAATCAACTATTGAGAAAAATGACTTTTCTCTATTTAACCTCTCTTGCCAACGGTCATATTTTTGCCCGTTTACCCAGTACCGGTCGACCGGAGCGGTTGACCGGTTGGGACAAATTTGAATTCGTGCTGTTCAACATTCTTATTGAGTGTCTGTTGAACATAACCGGTCAACCGGAGCGGTTGACCGGTTGAGGCATCACCAGTCGACCGGTGCATTTAGCCTTCTCTGTCACCGGACGACGTAGGTCGACTGGTTGACACTTAATTTGCCTCAAATCTTCACACATTTGTACTTTTAGGCCAAATGTCATTATGCACTAAGTTTAGTCTCATTTTTAAAGAATAATGTGAGTGTGTGCATGAGCCTAAACAAGAATTAATCATGATAGTATGAAGTCAAAATCAAATACAAGACTAAGGAGATATTAAAAACCTATTAGTACTTGTCCAACTTGATTTTGTTTGCTTGCTCTTGATCTTTGGTATTTTAGCACTTCAAGCCTTGAATTCCTTCTTCAATTTGCATTTGTCAATCTTGAATGTATTTGCATTGTATTCCGCAAAATGCTTCTTGAGTTGATTTATAACATTAATTACGCTAAATACACGACTCAAAATAGAATCATTAGAAACATAATACATTGTGTTTATGATCATCAAAACATGAGAATATTCAACCTTGGGCCAACAGTCTCTATATGTTCGTAACTAGTAAAACGAATCAAATAACATCATCACAGCTGTGAAGAACCATCCCCTCCACGTGGCCTTGTATAGGGTGGTCTCGAGAACGGTGGCACAAAGGGTTGAAATGGGGAAGAGGGTTGGCCGAATGTGTTGGCAGGTGGTGGGTTCGTGTGCACGTTCGGCTGAAAGTATTAGGGCATAGGCATTTGTTGTGGTGGCGGAGGAGAAATTTGTTAGTTTGCACAATGCTCCATAGTCTGCTGAATCCACACAAGCTGATGATGTTCTTGCATATGAAGGAATGGCCGCTGCCATCTAGGCTCCATAGTCATAAAGTTGAACATGGAGAGATGCTGTTCTTGGGGTATGTCCAACGTTGCCAATAAATCCATGCATTGATCCTAAACATTTTCAATTTGAACCGACATGTTCGCAGTTACATTTATACCTCGAGTCCGACTGCTTGTTTCTACCGAATTTACGAGGCGATCCACGACACACTCCATATAGCTAGGCGAGAGTTTACGAGAGTTACGACTTGACCGTTTACGTATCAATCACGATGGTGAGTGGTTATGTTGTCCGCGACTTTCTCTGTGCATGCCATGTCTCCTATCTGTAGAAGGAGCATCGTCACCGTCATTGAAACTTGTTGGTCCTCTCTCAATGGGGCTGCCCGACCCATGTTGTGGTGGAGCATCATCCTGACCATACTCAAAGGCCCCATTTGCCTGAGTATTGGCGAACGCGCAATAATACAAATCGTAATCCAACAAGGGCTTCTTCCTCGCCCTTTCAACCTCGGGATGGCTCTGTAAATAGAGCAACAAATATTAATACAAGGGGTCACTGAATTTTGTATTATAAATTAGAACCATTAAGCATTCGGAGAAATAGAACCTATATGAAACTCGGCCCTTATTTTTTTTCCCCTCAACATTTTAAATGTCATCCTCAGATGGTGTTAGTGTAGTGCAGTGGTTAATACCAAAATAAGAGAAGACTTGTTATTAAAGAATACCACCGAGTTTGCCAGATTATAGTTCACCACCATTTACGTTTTTTTTTCTTCTTTGATGTGTGATGTGTGGCTGTCCAAGCTGTTTAGTGGTTTACATGTGTAGCTAGCTAGGGTATATATATGCTATATTGGAAACAGAAAACGAAACGGAAAAAAGCAAAACCAAGCTTCGATTATTTTCTAAGATGAAAAATGTCATGAATGTCTAACAAATGGACAAGATTATGTAAATGACCTATATTATTGAAACGACAGCAAGGGCCAAAAAAAAGGAAAAAAGGAAGAAGTTGAAACTTACACTGATAAATTATTGCCAATACTCGTCAGTGCAAGTGGGTTTCTTCTGAATCGGATCCCATCCAAGTCCAGTGGCAGTACGAAGTAGAAACTTAGCATCAAACATTTTCTTCAGTCTACTAGCTTTTGTTTGACTTTGTCCCAACTTAGGGGGACGATAAAATGCTCACTTAGCTCCACCGCCCATTGTGTGTATTTGTCTCGGTGAGGGGTGGCACCGGCAGAGTTCAATAAATTGAACTCACCTAGACGTCTAAGCAGTTGTTCCTCAGCTTCTGGGCTCCAATTTACATCTCTATCTCTCCTTCTCACCATCTAAGTATTGACAATACCAATATGGCAGCAATACGTATGTACATAGCATACAAAATTCATTTAATGAGCTCAGATGTTGGAAGGAGGCTCAGATTTGTAAAAAGGCCAATCATCGTCCTATTATGGAGCATTATCCAAGGCTAGGACAATTAGGCTACTAAGGTTTATGTTCAATTAATCTTAGTGATAGGTTTGCAATACACTTTAAACCCCAAATAAACGAACATGATGCCATGAGGTTATGCATAAACCGGCAACCAATATGCTACCAAAGTTTTAGCTAACGTCGGCATATTGCTCAAGAAAGGCATTCAAAGTGAATTAAAGCAACCATACCAACCAAGAGTAATGAGATCAACCGGCAACCAACCATTAACCAGCCATAGAATATCACTCGACATAAGGAACTAAGCCATTAAATACAATTACATCATCATAGCCACGGTGAAATGCAATCTAGAAACTGAAAAAATCAGAAACAGTTTCTGGTTTTTTTTCCAGAAAATGCACAGCAGGGGTTCCAAATATATATGAGAACAATATTCAAAAGTTTGCGAATCATCATGTAAGTATATAACGTTACATTGTAGAGAACATTCTTAACAGATGAACAATGTTCGTACTGAAAGCAATATAGCTAACCTAGCAGGTATGAATATAAACTTCACAGCATTTGATGCTCAATAATCCTATCAACCCGGATACAAAGTACAAACTACAACAGAAAATATAACACTACTCCTAGGACCAGATTCAGATGGGGCCGAAATCGAATGCAAGCTACTTTTGGTTATATATAAGATCACAGTGCTTATTCATGTAATCAATCCCTTACACTTTTTTTTTCAATCTCACTTTCATAATTTGAGAAGTATACGAGTGACTTCACAAGAATGTGAAAATACTATGGCACAAAATGCCTTTGAAAATAAAAATACTTTACCTTATTTAAATGCCTTTTAAAGTTTCAACAACTTGCCTCCAAACTTTTAACAATGTTCTTGGCATGGATATTCAGAGAAATACAGGGCAAGACTCGAACTCACCAGAAACAGTTTCTGGTTTTTTCCTGAAACTGAACAAAAAAGGGTTCCAAAATACTAGTGCTCCGATGAAGTCTAGAGGCTGAAATCACCCAAAAAATCACCAAAAACTAATGTTTTGTTCCACAAAACGAACATAAGCTTTCACCGAAGTACTAGTTCTAAGAATGCAATCTAGAAAGCGTGAAATCACCAGAAACAGTTTCTGGTTTTTTTTTAGAAACTGAACAAAAAAGGGTTCCAAAATACTAGTGCTCCGATGAAGTCTAGAGGCGGAAATCACCAAAAAAAAATCACGAGAAATGGCAATTTTTTTCTAGAAAATAGAACATGTGAATTCACCAAAATACTAGTGCTCGGAATGCAATCTAGAAACCAAAATCACCAGAAACTGAAATGGATATTTTCCATAAGCTGAACATAAGGTTTTGAAAAATACTTACCGAATTCGAGCCTACGGAGGATATTTGGTTCCCTTGGAGATTCCCCAAACGCGAGGAAGGGTTAGCAAGTCTGAGGTACCGGCGACGATAAAGGTAGGGGAAGTAGGTTTGACGTCTCGGCTGGAGAGTTTTACGGCGTGCACTGTTGCCTCTACATCGAAGTAGGATGTTAACCCACCGAGGTCGCCGCACCAACGGATTCCCAACAAATTTCCCCGTGTTGAAGGGGTAACAAACGATGACAATGGTAGAGGAAGGGGGACACAAAACATGCAAATGGGGGCCGAAA